CTCCTCCACGGCTGCCATGACTGGCCCAGTCCGCTGTCTCTCACTTGGGTCTCTACTGGAGCTGCCTGACAGGGCTGCTTGCCTACGTACAGTCTGTTATTAGCATAGCAGCCAGAGGGAGTCCATTCAAGCATGGGTGGGATCTTGCCACTCCTCTGTTCGCACCCTCCGGTACACCTAGATTCCCGACACAGCAGCTGCTCTGCATTCCCTGGACTGCATAGGACTGCTCAAAAGGCTAGCGCTCAGGTCTGCCTCAGGACCTTTGCACCTGCTCCCCCCAGTCCCTGCTGACCTGCTCCCCCAGTCCCTGCTGACCTGTACCCCCCAATCCCTGCTTACCTGCTCCCCCCAGTCCCTGCTGTCCTGCTCCCACCCCCCACCCCCGCCCTCACTGACTTACTCCCAACCATCCTCACTGACCTGCTTCTCCCACCCTGTCCTGGCTGACTGCCCCCCCCACTTCCCCCACTTGACCTCCCGCCCCACGCTGACCTGCTCCCTTACATTCTACTCTGAACTACTTCTGAGGCTTCACCTTCATTTTAACAATTTATTATTTTTATTTTATGTGCACTGGCGTGTTGCCTGCATGTATGTCTGTGTGAGGGTGGCGGATCCCCTGGAACTGGAGCTACAGTGGTGAGCTGCCATGTGGGTCCTCTGGAAGAGCAGCTACTGACTCATCTCTCCAGCCCCAGGGAGCCTTTTCCCACCCATCCCTCTTCCCCATCCCTCCTCCCTTCTTGCATCTACAACCCTGCCTGTTTCCCTGGCTGTTTATCTCCCTACCCATCAGAAGGCACAAGGCCAGGCTGGAGGGTGGCTCAGCTGGAGAGTGTTCTTCTGACTGTTGACTGAGGTGGGGAAGAACATTTGCGACTCCTGGGCTCAGGGAGGGGACAGGAGTGGGGAGAACCTCAGCTAGCAGAGAGCAGTGATGTGGTCACTGTCGTGCACTTGGTTTGAGCAGGACAGTCCCTTCTTGCGGGCGTCTATGGTGCAGACTGAAACTCTCCATAAGCACCTTCTCCTTCCTCGCTGGCTCCCTGCTGGCCTGGGAGTCTGGCTCCTCCTCCCGTCGCCTGTGACACCCTTGTCTCTGGCACCAACAGGAAGTGCCGGCAGCTGGTGTGTGCCCAGGTAAGGAGACAGAGGCTTACCTGGGCAGGAGGCGGGAGGCCAGCTGACTAGGGTCTGCCTACTCAGCCCACAGTCTCAGAGGGGCCTCTGCTGTGCCCTCCCCCATGCCACCTGACACCCCTAAACCACACGTCTCTTACCCTGGCACCAGTTGCACGGGACAGACCCAGATGGCTCTTTGGCCTGGGGACAAAGGCCACACTGTGCCTGGCCCTGGGCGGGCCTCAGACTGGGTCACACTGGGTCTTTCTGTCTCTAGTTGGGGACGAGAGGCAGACAGCACCAAGGTGACAGATCTTTTTCCTGTCTCCCTTCCCCCTCAGCCCCCAAATCTGAGGAGCTGATTCTCCCAAGGCAAGAGTGACAGAGCATCTTGTGTCTTGAGCTGGGGAACAACAAACCATTCAGTGCCCCGGGTACCCTGTCACACCCAAGACCCTATTGGGTTCAATGCCCTAATTGTCCCTACCAGAGAGAAGTAGCCACTCTCTGCTCTGGTCACCATTCCCCCTGCCTGTTCCCATGTCACCATCAGGAAGTCCATCCTAACGTCTGACCTCCGTTCCTCATGCTGTAGTGATAGCCATTTCCTCTTGGCCACTTCTCCAGTACAGAGAACAGCTGGTTGCTGTTGCTATGCGGTCATCCATCACACTGCTCAGGTCAAGCCTGGAGCCTGGAGCCTCGGTTCCGTTCCGCTTTTCCAGCTCTTCCTCCCTGCTCTGCCCTCCGCTCCATCCTAGGCCAGCTATAGGCTCTTTACTCCCAATTGAACCCTAGAGAGAGCAGATGGGATTTTGGCTTGATCTTTGTCTGATAGAAATTATCCGCCCTGAACAAAAGCCAGGGTGTAAATCATGGCAGCTACCGGGAGTTACCGAGCCAGCAACCCATCCCACCAACCTGTAAGCCCACACTGTAGGGTGGCCTTATGGGAGAGCTGCTTTCAGACACGGCTGGTCCCTCTTGATAAAGCTGACACCACGAACAGCCAAGTGTGTGTGTCCCCTGCATCCCTTGAACAGCCTTGGCCTCGTGCCCCATGTCCCCTCAGATAGCTCTGGCAGCGTGTGCGCGCGCGCGCGCGCGCGCGCGCGCACACACACACACACACACACCGTTCCGCTCAGCTCGCTCCTAGAACTTAGGAAGCATATGTGTGTTCCCCAGTCCTAGCATCTCCCCTGTGGGGCTCCTGCAGCTGTGTCTGTCTCCTTCCTGGACCCTCTGCAGCTCTGAGGGCTCTCCACCTAGCCCAGATGGTAGATTGGAACCCCACCTCACCTGAACCCCAGATGCCGCCAGCCATGTCTACACATGCTGATTATCAGGGACCCTATTTTTTGTTTTGTTTTCTTGAGACAGGGTTTCTCTCTGTAACAGCCCTAGCTGTCCTGGAACTAACTCTAGACCAGGCTGGCCTTGAACTCACAGAGATCCTCCTGCCTCTGCTTCCCAAGTACTGGGAGTAAAGGCGTATGCCAATACTGCCCGGCTACCCTGTTTTAAATACACATCTTCTCTGCCTGTCTTGGAGAGACAGGGCTATAATCCTAGCCCTTGAGAGATTGAGGCAGGAAGATTGGAAATGCAAAACTAGCCAAGACTACATTGAAATACCTATTGCTACAGTAGAGTGGGTAGGAACCATGGCTCAGTGGTTAAGAGTGCTTGCTGCTCTTTCAGAGGACCTGGGTTCAGTTCCCAGAATCCATTTCAGGCAGCTCTCAGCTGCCCAAAATTCCAACTCCAGAGGATCCAACTTCCTCTTCTGCCCCCCAGGGGACCCTATACACATGTGACGTACACACACACACACACACACACACACTCTTTAAGAACCCTGAAGGAGAAGGTGGAGGCAGTCTCCTTGCCTACCACTAGCAAGGCCCTGAGTCCCCAAGCGTTTTCCCAGGCTCTAGCTCCAGAAGCTGGTAGTTAGCATGTGTTCGGATGACCCTGGTCACGGCAGCATTCAGCTGCACACCAGTGAACATGTACGTGGAGTGCTCGCCGCCCTCTGGTCTTGCTAGAAATGAAGGTTACCAGGTAGGGGACGACTGAGTCTTCTTGTCCCTGGAGCCTGTCTGTCCTGTAACCATTGCCTCTGTGGGTCCTTTGAGCCAGATGCCACACATGGGGACATGTAGCAGGGTGGCTGTCATCTGGGAACTCCCTGAGTTCTGCAGAGGGCAGGCCTGTGACGTCATACAGGCTGGGGCCATAAGTGGGAATCCAGCTGGGGTGGGCCCAGGTGGGCAAGGCAAGGAAGCCGAGGAGAGCCCTGGGCAGCACGCTGACAGTAACCTGAGCCCCTCGGGAGGGAACAGGGATCTTATTTAGGTACTGTAACCGAGTGTTCGGCGCCAGGCTGTACGCAGGAGATGCTCCACCCACCCACCGGTGGTGTGCCATCCTGACTGACTTGGTCTGCAAGCTCCTCAGCAGAGGAGGACTCAACAGGCCATGCAGGCCAAAGCCTTCTCTTGGGTCAGGAGAGCCTGAGGGTCCAGCTCAGTTGTGGTAGAGGCAGCCAGGAGCATGGAGTGCCAAAAAGAGGACCTTTTCCAGGCTAGCAGAGGACAGAGGATATGATCGTTAAGCAAAGCAAACATGTTACTGACCCATAATCCTTTAAACCAGGAGGATTCGGGGGGGCCTGGTTGCCTTGGCAACTGGGTGCCGGCCAGCCACAGGCCTGAGCATCCTCCAGAAGTGGGTTATAAGTAGGCCCAGGGAGGAGTGCAGATGCCCCCTCCCATAGGGTTGGCCCTCCTGATGCCTTCCTGGCCAGGGTGGGGAGCTAAGGAGGTTGTGTAGCCTCTGGTGCCTGCAGCCCCTCTGTAACTGAAGGCGGTATGGTGCCCAGCAGGATGTCCATGTGACTGTAGATGGGTGCTCTTGAAGCCCACGGAGGGTGGGGCCTGTGGGAAAAGCATGGCTGTATGGGTTTTTAATCCCAGCACTCAAGAGGCTGAGGCAGATGAATCTTTGTGAGTTTGAGGCCAGCCTGGTCAATATAATAAGTTCCAGGCCAGGCATTAGAAATATACAGTGAGACTATGTATCAAAATAGGGATAAAGGAGGGAGGGAGGGAGGGAGGAAGAGAGGGAAGGAGGGAGGGAGGGGGGAAAGAGGAAGGGAGGGGGAAGGAGGAGGGGGAGAAGGAGGGAAGGAGGGGGGAGGGAGGGAATGGAGCATCCACCTGTGGGAAGCAGCAGTAACATTCGTGGTGCCGTCCGGAGGGCAGAACTTAGAGGGCAATAGAACAGGGCAGCTCCCGCCCCACTGTGTCCTCAGCCCAGGGCACCCAGGCCTGCTCAGAGGACTGCGGCGAGGGAGGGGCCAGCAGTTCAGGCTTCCCTTTTCCTGGTCTGCCTGGGTTTCCCACGCTGTTCCTGACTTGCACACTGCAGCTGGAGCAGAGGTTGGGCTTTGTGCTCGCTCTCCCTTGACCTCCTTCCCGAGGACCCAGGATGAGAGCGGGAACATTCTCGTTATCAGTATCAGGTGTCAAGACTATTGACAAGTGGGCACCAAGCAGTTAGGGTCTTTCAGAAAGAGCCAATAGCCTGAAGGCCATCCAGGTATGGCCTCCTGTCTCAGAGATCTCCAGACACCCTAGCTGAAGGCTGACTGTCGAGAGTGGCCTCTTGCAAACCTGTAGTTGTACTCGTTGATGCTGTAACGGCAGGGGAGGGCATAGTCATGGACAGAAGGTGGCTGAGAGTCACAGAGGAAGGAACAGGGTTAGATCCATCATCATGGAACTGAGGCTCTGGTCAGGATGACCTAAAGCCTGGCTCCCATGGGTATAGAGCGGCCACATCGCCTTGTTCTTTCCTCTCTATCCCAGGACCCACAACGGCCCCCTGCTGACCATGAACAAGATGAAGAACTTTAAGCGAAGGCTTTCCCTGTCCGTGCCCCGCCCAGAGACCATTGAGGAGTCCTTGGCTGAGTTCACCCAGAGGAACGAGGATGAGGGTCAGGCCATCTCGCTCTTTCCCTCCCAGACTTCCTGTGAGCCCTGCTGATTTGCTGTACATCAGGGCCAGAGGGGGGTGGGTGCCCTGGGCTGTCCACAGACCGTGGAGTGGGAGGTAGGAACCAACGCCTGTCCTGCTCAGGCGTGCCACTCAGCGCTGTGGACTGAGACCGAGCGTGTTCTCCCCCGCAGATGGCGGGGATGAGCCCAGGCAGCTGTCCCCTGGCATGCAGTACCCACAACGGCAGAGCCAGCGCCGCTTCTCCATGGAGGTGAGGGTGCCCCTTCAGGCTCCACAGGTCAGGCCCATCCACAGCCGTAGACATGGCACAGTGGTTCCCCCGATCACTGGGGGCTCAAATCGAAGTAGGTCATTGAGGGAACTGCATGAGAATATATGTCAAAGACTAGAACGCTCCTGGCTAGACAGCTTGTCTGTTGTTATGAGCCACATATCTGTGCTAAGCATAGAAAAATGTGCTTACGAAATTACATTGTGAGGGTGTGAGATTCGTGGTCTACAGTCCGGCTTCTGTGGCCTAGAGAGGGGATGAAACCTCTTAAGGGTCACACAGTAATCCTTGTAGGTTCACATTTGTATACCCTTCAGGTAGCCGTGAACCTGAGGTCACAGCCCGTGGCTTGGCCCTGCTCTATAAGAACAGATAGATCCAGAGTGAAAGGCAGGGACCTCCCGAGGCCAACATGGTATTCCCGTCTCATCTGCCACCTCAGGACCTCAACAAGAGGCTCTCTCTGCCCATGGATATCCGCCTGCCCCAGGAATTCCTGCAGAAGCTACAACTGGAGAGCCCAGGGCTGCCCAAGCCACTCACTCGAATGTCTCGTCGTGCCTCCCTGGTGAGTCCAAGGAGGGTCAGAGTGTGCTGAGTGGGAGACACCAGTCAGGGTAGAGAGGCAGAAAGATTCCTGTGCCTCTGGCGCCACCTGCTGGTCTCTCTGGATTCCAATAGTCTCCCTACAACAAGTAGGCTCCAGGGTCTCCCAGGTTAAGACCAATAAACATTGTTGTGAGTCATATCTGTACTCCCAGCATTCCTTGGGAGGCTGATGCAGGGTGACAAGAATTCAAGGTCAGCCTGGGCTGCGCAGTTCCAGGACAGCCAAGGGTACACTGTAAGACTATATCTCAAAAAAACAAAACCAGAAGCCAGATAAGGTTCAGATGGTGTTTCGCTGTGTAGAGACGTGGTTCGAGACTCTCCCTGCCTCGCCGTCGTGGGCATATGCTTGGTCATCCCAAACAGCCATTGTGCACACCCACAATCTCACTAATGCACTAATGGGAGCAAAGTCTAGAGAGCTGTCACTTCCTCTCCAGTGGCCTTTGATGGAAAGAAATAGGCGCATCTCTGGAGTCAGTCACTGCTGTGCGTAGGGACCTGGAGAACATGGATTAAGGAAGCATGTTCCTGCTGATGAGAAGAACAAGCAAACACACTCAGCTATGGTCCTCTGTTGCTGCTACAAGGCCATACGGTCTCTTATATAGCTCACATATGTTATGTAATACTTAATGACAATGAAAGCCCTCCCCAGTAAAACAACAAGGAAACAGACAGACAGCCCGACCTGTCAGAACACCCATCACAGGCTTCCAGGTCCCAGCCTGCTGTGAGGAATTCCTAGGAGCCTCACCCGTGAGTGGGCCTCAGAGCCTGTCTTATTAAGATACGTCCTGTCCTGAGCCAGATGAGATGAAATGATGAGAGACTTTGTCTCTACAAAGTAGAGAATGTCAGGCCTGCCCTGGAGGAGCCAGTAACCTCCTGAGCAAGAGAGCCAGGCAGGCAGTGAGGTGGATGCTGGGAAGGCAGCTCGGCAAGGTGTGTCCATCTCCGACTCATGGAGGAAGGGCCCCCATCAAAGGGGTCCCTCAGCTCTCATAAGGAGAAAAGGACGACTTTGAAGCTCCCTGGAGCTTGTAGCCTTGGAGCTTCTCTGTACAATGGGGGCGTCTCGCTTCCGGCCCTCCCTCCTGAAGGAATATGGACTAGAAAGATCTGCTGGGCCTTTGAGTCTCATAGTCTCCTGTGTCTCCTTCCCAGTCAGATATCGGCTTTGGGAAACTGGAAACGTATGTGAAACTGGACAAGCTGGGGGAGGTAAGAGTCGGTGTTGTTGTCTGGGCAGCAGGATGGTTGGTGACGACTCTTCTGCCCCTCACGGCTCCTGACCCTCCGAGTCACACTGTCCCAGCCAAGCAGCCTGGCCTGGCCTTCAGCAGCTGTTGAGATGTCCCTTGATCTTGAATGAGGCCTAGAGGACAGAGGTCTCTGGACAGAATCTAGTCAAGTAGTTATGGCCTGGATTTGAACCCTCGCTAGCCCCACGACTGTGACATGTCCCATGGCCTCTCACCTCAGTTTCATTCTCTGTCAAAGGATGACAGTAGTGATTTTATTGTTGGGGGAGATTGCAGGGTACCCAAGAAAGTTCCTGGTGTCTGCCACACAGCAAGGGCTCTGTTACTAAATTGCTTCTACATCGCTGTGTGAGGCTCTGTGACTGGAGGGGGTATAGGCTTGTGAAGGGTAAGAAGGCCCTGTCTTTCAAGAGCCATATCATCATGACCTAAGAGCAAGGCTGGGCTATAATAACCGAGGGGCAGACAGTCTGGGAGCAGAGCAATGGACAGCCCACTCCAGCAGGGGAGCAGAGGAATGGGCAGTCCACTCCAGCGGGGGAGCAGAGGAATGGGCAGTCCACTCCAGCAGGGGAGCAGGGGAGCAGAGGAATGGGCAGCCCACTCCAGCGGGGGAGCAGAGGAATGGGCAGTCCACTCCAGCGGGGGAGCAGGGGAGCAGGGGAGCAGAGGAATGGGCAGCCCACTCCAGCGGGGGAGCAGAGGAATGGGCAGTCCACTCCAGCGGGGGAGCAGGGGAGCAGGGGAGCAGAGGAATGGGCAGCCCACTCCAGCGGGGGAGCAGAGGAATGGGCAGTCCACTCCAGCAGGGGAGCAGGGGAGCAGAGGAATGGGCAGCACACTCCAGCGGGGGAGCAGAGGAATGGGCAGTCCACTCCAGCCGGGGAGCAGGGGAGCAGAGGAATGGGCAGCCCACTCCAGCGGGGGAGCAGAGGAATGGGCAGTCCACTCCAGCCGGGGAGCAGGGGAGCAGAGGAATGGGCAGCCCACTCCAGCGGGGGAGCAGGGGAGCAGAGGAATGGGCAGCCCACTCCAGCGGGGGAGCAGGGGAGCAGAGGAATGGGCAGTCCACTCCAGCCGGGGAGCAGGGGAGCAGAGGAATGGGCACTCCAGCCAGGAAATTAATTGGGATACTTTCAGAAAAAGCAGACCATTTGAACAGAGGGAGTAGGGTACCCAGCTTGAATCCTAACCCAAGCAGACACCTAAACGGTGGAACTGGGAACAGGAACAGGACCCTCCTGGGCTGACCAGGAATGCTCTGTCCCAGGGTACCTATGCCACCGTCTTCAAGGGGCGCAGCAAGCTGACAGAGAACCTCGTGGCCCTGAAGGAGATCCGGCTGGAGCATGAGGAGGGAGCACCCTGTACTGCCATTCGAGAGGGTACAATGTCCGGGTCTGCACCCTGGGCCTCTGGGAGGAGGGGCTCAACCTACACCTGGTGGGAGCCTGGGTGAAGGGCCATCTTTGGCCCTTGGAAGGGATAGTGGGGAGGTATTGGTGGGCCTGGGGACCCAGGTGGGCCTGTCTCCCCAGTGTCTCTGCTGAAGGACCTGAAACACGCCAATATTGTGACCCTGCATGACCTCATTCACACAGATCGGTCCCTCACCCTGGTGTTTGAGTACCTGGTGAGCTGGACTGGGGCTGGCAGCCTCTTCCCCTGTGGTGGGTGAAGTGGGTAGGGAAGAGAGAGGGTGAGGGCCTGGGAAGGGTGGGGCAAGGGAAGGACCCTAGCGTTTGTTTGTCAATGAAGTTCCCATGCGGAAGAGGGCCAAGGGTTCAGAGCCAGGGCCCTGTGCTGCCAGCAGGCAGAGGCCAGACTGAAGAGGGTTTCCTTTCAGCCTGGGTCTGGACCACTGGCCAGGCAGGGGGCAGCACTGAACCTGACTGTCTGTTCCAGGACAGTGACCTGAAACAGTATCTAGACCACTGTGGAAACCTCATGAGCATGCACAATGTCAAGGTGAGGGCCTCTAAGGTTGGGACCTCATCATGGCAGCTACCTGTCATCAAGGCCAGCGCGGGGTGCTCCTCTTCCCACCAGCTGCTGAGGTTGCTTGGCGCTTCAAACGCAGGAAGGAGGGAAAGGCCACTCGGCTAGTCTAGAAGCCATTCTGAGCACCCCAGCCGAGAACAGACTTGCCCTCCACTTCTGTCTAGCTGCTGGCACAGATTCCTCTCTTAACTCTATCAAGCATGAGCTCTCTGCCAGAGTGAGGGGAGGCCTCTGAGAAGCGAGGAGGGCGGATGACCAGCTCTGGTGATGAATAACTGAGCACATCCATGCCTGCCTAGAGGACCCTCACTCCCTCTGCTCTCCTACTTCCCATGTAGAGGCCACGCCAGCCCCTCACACTCACTGCCTCCTCTCCGTGTATGACTCCTGGTGTGCACAGGTCCCAGGTGGCCTGCAGGGTGGCCAGCAGAACCAGGGAGCCTTCCTAGAGCCTTCCTCTCTGGTCTGAGACAGAGGCAAAGGGTCTCCCACATAGGACCTGGTCCTATCACACTTCCCCTTTTCCCTCTCTCCGCCAGATTTTCATGTTCCAGCTGCTCCGGGGCCTGGCCTATTGCCACCGCCGCAAGATCCTGCACCGGGACCTGAAGCCCCAGAACCTGCTTATCAACGAGAGGGGCGAGCTAAAGCTGGCTGACTTTGGTGAGGCAGACGCCAGGGTCAGGGGTCAGGGTTGGCAAGTGGGTCTGACCCCTGGGGTGCACAGTCTCCTCAGGACAGAGGGATTCTGAGGGATGCCCGAGAACCTGACTCTTCAGGACCCTTTAGCAGAGATTCAGCGACCTCTCTGTTCCTAGGCCTGGCCCGTGCCAAATCAGTGCCTACAAAGACGTATTCCAATGAGGTGGTGACTCTCTGGTACAGGCCCCCAGATGTGCTGCTGGGATCCACAGAGTACTCTACCCCCATTGACATGTGGTGAGTGAGCAGCAGAGGGGAGTAGGAGAGACTGTCCATGACTTTAGACCCTGTCCAAGATGACCCTGACCTTGCTCAGAGTGCCCCTTCTCCCTGCTGTGCTACTGCTAGCAAATTAAATCAGAAATATATCAGTGGCTCTGAGCTTATAGACCATCTAATCCTGTACTTCTGATATGCCTCCCCATGAGTAAAGGTGGGAATCGCCAGAGGGTAGATGAGTTTTCTCCCAGAACATTTGGAAGAGACATACTATTTGATTGTTAAAATTGACAAATGTATGGTTTGGTATAGACAGAAGTTTCTGTCCCGCCTGGTCCTGTAGACATTCAGTTCCAAATGAACACAGAGGCTTATATTAATTACAAACTGTGTGGTCTCTTAGCTCATGCTTATTATTAGCTAGCTCTTACAACTTAAATTAACCCATAATTCTTATCTATGTTTAGCCCCACGGCTTGGTACCCTTTCCTGGTAAGACATTCTCGTCTTGTTTTCTCTGCATCAGGCTGATGATTGAGTCTCTGCCTTTCCTCTTCCCAGAATTTTCTTAGTCTCGTTGCTCAGCCTATGCTTCCTGCCTGGCTACTGGCCAATCAGCGTTTTATTAAATCAACATGAGTGACAAATCTTTACAGTGTACAAGAGCATTATCACACAGCAATTTAGTGTAAAATGAAAACCAGCTCAACTTGAAAGTCAACCCAGGTTTCTGGCCAAGCCCAAGGCTCCCCAGAGAGTGAGAATATGCACCTGTCTTTCTGCCTAGCAGACTTAGGGGACCCAGGGCTCACAGAGAGGGATCGTAGTGGGAGTCTGGTTGGTTCTAGGAGCCTTTTAAGACCCAGAGGTGACCTCCCAGGCTTGTGTTAGGGTGTCATTGACTCTCTCACACAGAAGCCTTAGGAGGGATGGTTGTGCTTCTTGGCCTCACCGTTGCCCTTGCTTCCCCAGGGGCGTGGGCTGCATCCTCTATGAGATGGCCACCGGGAAGCCCCTCTTCCCAGGCTCTACTGTCAAGGAGGAATTGTACCTCATCTTCCGTCTCCTGGGTTAGTTTCCCTCTGTACCCTCCACGTCACCAGCAGGGGTCACCAGAACTCTGTCCACCTAGGAGCACGGAGGACTGGGCCGGGTGGGAACTACTCTTTGTTGGCTTCTTCTGTGTTGAACCCTTGCAATATAAGCTTCTTACCATTCCAATTCTCCAGGGACTCCTACAGAAGAGACATGGCCGGGTGTGACGTCCCTCTCTGAGTTTCGAGCCTACAACTTCCCCCGGTACCTGCCACAGCCGCTGCTCAGCCACGCTCCCAGGTAGTCCCTTGCCAGGCCCCTGGCTCCCCACTGTGATCTCCCTCCCAGAGGTTCGGGTCCCCAGCCTGCCCCTGGCTGTGCCTGTGCCAGCGCCTCCTCCTTGCAGGTTGGATACTGAAGGCATCAACCTCTTGACCAGCCTCCTCCTGGTGAGTCTCCTCCAATCCTACCCAGAGAGAGAGAGACACTAAAGAAAGTCCAGCCAGTAGCTCAGGCCTGCGGCTCCAAAGCCCCAAAGGGACACTAGTCCCTGTGCTTGGTACTCAAGGCCTGGTTGGGCACTTCCTGAGGACGGGAGGCTTAGTTTTCTCAGCTGCATGGCGGGTATCAGTTTATGCTTTAGAAGATGCTGGGGATACGCCAAGATTGTGGGGCTGACACAGCGCCCACCTGGGAGCAAGCGCAGGGTAAAGGGTAGTTAGCGGTGCAATCTGCGGATAGCGCCAATACTCCCTCAGGTGATGATTGGCATCGTCTGCTCATGTATGCCCATCCCAAGAAGCAGTCTTCCCGCCCCCTCTGTGGAGCCCCATTTTAGTTTTTTCCTGATGTCTGAATCCTGGTATCCTAAGTCCCAAGGCTGCCTGGTTTGGGTCAGATGGGGGCTTCTCCCACCTCGGCCCATTTTCTAGAAGGCTCTCCAGCAGGGCCCAAGAGCCTACCCTGTGCCTTTCAGTATGAATCCAAGAGTCGTATGTCAGCAGAGGCAGCCCTAAGTCACCCCTACTTCCAGTCTCTGGGAGAACGCATACACCAGCTTGATGACAGTAAGTACCCAAGGGATGGGGCCAGAACAAGGGAAGGGGCAGTGGATGTGGGTGGGGCTATCACAGGGGCTGGACCCTTGGGTCCAGGCAAGTCATCTTGGACACATGGCTACCCCTTCCCAATTCTCATTTGGAGAACTGAGTCTTGCCTGGAGGCTGCCTCAGCTCTGTGGATTTAGTGGAAGTGGGGACAGTAGATACAGGAGCAAGCAGAGTGGCTCCCATGAGGCCTCCCCTCCCCTCTTCTCTTGTCCAGCTGCCTCCATCTTCTCCCTGAAAGAGATCCAGCTCCAAAAGGACCCAGGCTATCGTGGCCTGGCCTTCCAGCACCCAGGTAGGGCCACAGGCTCCCCCTAAACCCTCTGTTAGAAGCAACCAAGTAGACTGCCTTCCCCAGGGAGGACTCTCCTTTAAGGAAGAGATGGGCCTGGCAGTCTACCCTTGAGATGAGATGAGAAGACTACACCCCCTCGTACATACCTTATACGAGGTTCCTCCCTCACTCACTGCCTTTTACAGTAGCCCTGACAGGGGTGCACCCTGTCCCTGGTGGGTTCTCTTTGAAGATCCCAAGCTCCTGGCCAGTCCACACTTTGTTTCTAGCACAGGCAATGGCCTTGGACTGACAGTGGTTCTCATGCATGGTCTCGTGTAATCTTTAAAACACCCTGTGGACTGGCACTGTAAATGCTTTCCACTTCAGTGAAACCGAGGCCCCTAGAAGATAAGTCCCAATTTAGCACAGCTTACAAGCAGCAGGGATGAGACCCGAATCCAAGTACACGCCCTTGCTTCCTGGATCAAAGCGTGTGAAGGACAAGGGTCCCTTTAACCCTTCCCGTCCCGCTCCGTTCTCCAGGGCGAGGGAAGAACCGGCGACAGAGCATCTTCTGAGCTGCGTCCACCGTGGTGCAACTCGAGGGACAGGAGGCCACAGGGGACGTGAATTCAGGAAGTATGGGGCCTGTGTGGCCATCCGAGGGCTGAGCAATGAACGCCTGTGGCCAGTCTGAGGACCACTTGGCAGCCCTGGTGGTAGCAGTTGCTTCCTTTCCTTGCTTGCCACGCACCTCTGTGATGGTTCCTACCTGGACACCAACCCCTTTGTCACCCACTGTGGGATGGGGCGTCAGCTGCTTCCCTGAGAGGAAGTGAGGGGCAAGGAGGAACCTGGGACCCTTTCCCAGCTGCAGTGCGGGGTATTTGGGGGGGGGGGCTGGGTTTGCCTGGCTCATCAGCCTGACAGACCCCTTCCTTAGCCTTTGGACACTCTCCCTTCACCTTCTTCCCCTCCAAGAACAAGGACTACTCCAGGAACAAGGTCCTGGGACCCTGGAATTGTGCCAGTGTGTGTGCTAACCCCACCCCAAGGCAGACCTCTCTGGAGCATCAAAAAAAAAAGGAGCCCCTCCTGTCACCACCCCTCCATACTGTTTTCCCCTCCTTGCCAGAGCCCTGTGCCCTCTGGCTTGAACCAAAGCTAAAGAGCACAGCATGCTACCCATGTCCAGCTGCACCTGGAGGTAATCTGGGACTCCCAGCTGTACTCCTGCCACCTCAGCCATCCCCCTGCCCATCCCCCAGTCTGGAAAGGGTTGCCTTAAACTGGCAGGTGGAAGAGTACACTGTTCCTGGAGCTCTGACCTAGCCCCTGTGTCCCTTCCTCCCTAAACCACGCCCACGGGTGTTATCAGCCCTGAGGGATAATAAGTCAACCCTGTCTCAGGGTCCTGAGGCTGGCACCCAGATATGCACGGTCACCCTGACACTGGTACCAAGGTAGCCTTGGCTCTTTGGGGCTGGTGTGGCCTCTCCTCCATCCACCACCTCCTTCCTAGCCCTGTCTACCTGACCCTGGCACCAACCTCCAAAGAGGGTGGTCCTGAGAGCAAAGGTGCTGGCACCACTATGTAAGCTGGAGAGGGTACCCTTCCTCCATACCCACCTCGTGTTCCAGGTCTCCCCACACTTGGTTGAACTTGAAGGGCAAAGGCCAAGGGGACGTCAAGCCCATGTTTTCTCCACAGGCCCCATGCCCATCCCCACCCCTTGGAGCCTGGGTTCTCCCTAACCCCCTTCCCCACTGACTGTGAATGTCCTGTGACTCAGAGCAAAAGCAGAGAATATATTTAATTCATGTTGTACAGAAAGCAGTGAGCAGTCTCATTCAGAAAATGTGGCTAATAGGACAATGCCAAAGATAGAGGACTAAAGACTCTTAAGTGTCTGGGCTTCCTGTACAGACACACAAACCAGGGAAGAGTCTGGTCTGTGACATCACTGAACCTGCCCCGTGCTGGGGGAGGGAAGACTTTGGTACCCTCCCTGCTATGTTCAAGGTCATTTCAACTCACCTGAGGATTGTGGGTGAGACAGAAAACACACAGGCCTGGGTATCTGTATTCTGCATCCTGCCTTTGGCTCAGGGTGTGCCTGCGAGGTGGGACCAACGGGGATGGCCCAGAGATAATCCTGAAGAGGTGAATGGGGTCTGGCTTCCATGGGTCACTCGGCTTTGCCAATACCACACAGCTCCTTGGTTTCATGAGATGGGAAGGCACAAAGATAAAAAGAGAATTGGGCCAGGTGTAGTAGTGTATACCTTTAACCCTAGCACTAAGGAAGCAGCAGGTGGGATCTCTCTCTCTGCCTGTGTGTGTGTGTGTGTGTGTGTGAGAGAGAGAGAGAGAGAGAGAGAGAGAGAAAGAGAGAGAGAGAGAGAGAGAGAGAATATGAGTGATGAGTTGATATTGAGGTGGAGAGAGAGAGAGAGAGAGAGAGAGAGAATGTGAGTGCTGAGTTGATATGAAGGTGGCCACGCCAGGGCAGTGGCAAGTGCAGACCTTACTAATTTTTGAATGCACTTCCTGATGCTCTCAAATGCACTTCCTGGCTCTCCTTCAAATCACACAGATCTTAAGTGCTGAGAATCCAGCTATTTTCCAGTTCACTGCTCAAATTTGTTCCAAGCCCATGCAGAATGCCCTAAGGCATGCCTCCTGGCCTTATCTGTTCTGTGTTTTTTTTTTACTCAAGGGGGGGTCCTGCTTCCTCGCCAAGGCCATGGAAGTTGAGCTAGGCCAGGGCTTGGTCCCTGGTTACACACCATTTCCCACACTAGACCCCATCAAAGCATCAGCATGCAGAACCTCTCAGGCAGAAATCAGTGCTTTCTGTAGGGGAAAGGCGGGGGAACATGCAGACTGAGCTCCAGTGAGAAGATGACGACGTGCAGCCTGTATACTAAGGTGCCTTCCCTGTGCCCGCCTCCAATGCTTAGACCCATCTCACCGAATCACCGCTACAATCTCTTTCTGCCTGATCACATACAAAAACACTGGAGTCCCCTGAGATGAAATGCCTGGCCTCAGGTCACACAACAAATTAGAATCCCAAGTCTGTTAAGACTTGGAGACGTGGCTCAGGGGCAGAGGCTTTGCCTATCACGCACAAGGTCCTTGAGTCTATGGGCCCCATGTTCCATTCTCAGCGCTGGGGAAAACCAACTCAGGAACAACAACAACAAAAACCTTCCTAGAATTTTAGAACCCTGGGTCTGTGTTCGGCCCAGCCCTCCTTGGTCTTTAAGGAGGGGAGGGGAGGGAGAGAGGATCATGTAAACAGTGAGACAGGGAAGCATGAAGCAGGTACAAGGAAGGGCCCGGGAAGAGCAGCACTGTGCAGGCGGACGCTTACCACACTGTGGGCCCAGCGTGTGCGGAAGTCCCTGCGTCTTCCAGAGCCCTCCTGTGCAGCTGTCCCTGTGTTTGGCTGTGGTTGTGAAGGTACAGGGAGGCATGCCTGGGTCAAGGAACTTTCACCCTAGAAAACGGGCAGGCTGGGGGAGAGCTGTGCCTAGACCCTGTGAATCAGGCTTACTCCAGGTTTGCGTGTACTTGGGAGAGATGTTGGCTTGGGAGGGGGAAGCTGGATCTAGGAGCGAGGCAGGGCTGAGTGACTAGCTATGAGCTGCCAGAGCTGTGGCCTGCAGGAATCTCTGCTGGTCCCCAAGGGACCAAGCTGAGCCACAGCCCAGCCCCAGGCCCTGGAGCCCTGTTTCCTGGGTATCCAGAAGTCATTTCCTGATGCTGTGTGACACTCCTAACAGAAGCCTTTTGCTGGAGTCCCTGGTGAGTCATTGTCCCCTCTGGTACCACATTTACCGCCCTCATTCCTGGGTCAGGAATGCCCAGGGCCACATCTGGCCTATCGTCCCCCATGCCCGCTTCTAGCTGCTGCTGAGAAGATCCTGTGTGCTGAGTGCTGCAGAGCTGGGCTGCGGCTCCCATGCTCCCACGCTCGCTCCCACCGATGGAACCTAGGGTTGGCGCTCTCCTGCCCCATTCTTCCACAGACGTCCCCTGCGGGATCCATCCCTAGACCCTGCCAGCCTTCTAAGCCAGAAGCGACTTCTCACAGACTCGGGCACCCTTCTTCATGCCTGCACAACCACAGCCACACAATGAGTGTGCCGACTTCCGCGCTTCCCTCCATATTACAGGTTTGCTCTTGCCCCTGCTTGGCCTTCTTTCCTTCTTGCTCTGCGGTGCTAGGTCCTACCCAGTGAGTGACTGAGTAGCACTCATACCCTGCCTTAGTTTCTCTTCCTGTTGCCGTGATAAAATACACAGACAACAGTAACTCGGGAGACACAGCTCCAGCTCTTGGTTCAGTGGCCCAGGCTGCCATGGCGGGAAAGCCAAGGCTGTGGGAGCTCGAAGCGGCTGGTCCTATCAGTCACATCACCAGCAGGAAGCTGGGTGTTGAGTGCATGGACCCATTTCACTTTCTCTTATATAGCCCAGCGCCCAAGCCCACTTTGGATAGCTCCTCCCTCCTGAATTAACCTATCAGTCACTATCAGGCATGCCCAGAGGCTAATAATGGATCCCAGGTGTGCCTGGAGGCTTGCCTCCCACGTGAATCTGGATCATGCCAGGCTGGCACCACCACAACCCTCCCCTTTGTCAAGTTGACATTCAGACACATCACTTAAATCATAACCTTCTACCTTCTCATGACCAATTTATAATACCAAAAAAATCCACTATTTAATTCAACTTGAAAAACCACCTCCAGTCTTTAATAATTTTAACGCCTTCCGAAATTCCAAGTCTCATCTGAGGCCCACAGCAATCTCTTCTGTGTGAGTTCCTATAAAATAAGAAATAAGTGACATACCTCCAGCACATAATGGCACAGATTTAGCATGCCTATCCTGAAAGGGAAGAACCAGGGCTTAGCAAGGAATGGTCAGAATAAATACCCAAACCCAAACAGCAGACACTAAATCCTGCAGCTTCGTGTCTGGCACTTGGGGTTCCTAGTGAAATCAACTGGGCTCCTAAAGGATTGGGTAGCCCTTCACCCCTCCATCTCTCTCTTGGGTGAGCCCAGCTCTGCATGTAGGTTTCCTCAGTGGACATCCCACATTCACGAATCTCCAATATTCTGTCGTCTCCCTGGCAACTTAGGCTTTTCTTTCACAATTTCACAGGAACATTGACCAGCAGGAACTTTGACTCTGCCACACATCTGGCCACAGCTGCTCTCTGTAACAATGGGACAGAGCGATGGGATCTTACTCTGTTGTTATAGAGAGTAGCCATAGCCAGGGGATGTGCGGCAAAGTCAAAGTGTCAGAAGTCACTGTCCTCTGCTCCATCAGGCACCCCTACACTCACCCATCCCTCCCCTAGGTTCCCAGCCCCACTGCCCCTTATCAACTTAAAAGGACAGCAGGCCCTATTCCTGTTCCATCTGCTATGACACTGGGTGGTGACATTGCTGATGGTCAGTAGCTTGCTCCAGATGAGTGTGCTGACTTCCCTCAGACAGATGGACAGGCGAGGGTGCACTTAGTACGGCAACATGATGAGACACCCCCAGCCACTTCCCTCCACATTAGATGTTTGCTCTTGCCCCTGCTTTGGCCTTCAGTGGAGCAAGATCCCATAGCTTCCCCAATTTTGTGCCTTTTGTATGCAAGGGATACAGTAAAACAAAACAAACAAACAAAAACTGCTGACATGATCACGATCATTCCATGATAAGGTTAAGGTTTTAAGAAAATAACCAGCGGCATCTGGAGAGACCAGAACTGAGAAAGACGTAGACTGGGCACGGCCTAGGGCTAGGAAAATGGGAGAGAGCGGTGGAGATAGTGAGATAGCAAGAGGCAGAGACTAGAGCATAGTGAGAGAGAATAAGAGAACAAGGGAGGGAAGGAGGGAGATAATAGTGAGAACAGCAAAGCTATAAGGATGAGTAGCTAAGAGTAGAGAAGCCTGTGAGCTGGAGGGAGTTTAGGGTAGGGGAGGAGGTGAGAAGGGCTAGGATGTTAGCATGGACTTTGAAATCTGCTAACAGGTACTTGTGATACTGGTCAGCATGAGCTTTGGTATTCTGACAGGCTCCATGGGTAACCATATGTCCCTTCTACCAGAAGTAAGGGAAATGCCTCTTTTGGGCAGATAGGACTTGGTTTCATGAATTCCTGAGAAATTTTGGCTTTTATCTAACTGCCAGAAGTCCTTTGGTCTAACGAGCTCATTTCTGACAGCCTTTTGGAGTCTGAGGAATTTGGAGTTTGTTCTAGAATTGACTCCTTTCATGCCTGCAAAGCCTGTACCACGTGGATGATGCTCCCAAGCTCGGCCGTCAGCTTAGGATGGAACCTCTCCTGGGTGGGTGAGGTCTGCTCTCAGGACACCTTTCTTGCTGTCCCAGTGCCATGCAGAAGGTTGCTCTTCAGTGATACTGGCCTCAGTTACAGCTGCTTTCTCAGCACCAGCCTGAGAGCTCGCCTGTCCTGAGATGTTCTCTGCCAAACAAATTGGCCCATTAGTTTTTTTTAAAAAAAAAATATTTATTTATTATGTATACAATATTCTGTCTGTATGCCTGAAGGCCAGATGAGGGCGCCAGACATCTTTACAGATGGTTGTGAGCCACCATGTGGTTGCTGGGAATTGAACTCAGGACCTTTGGAAGAGCAGGCAATGCTCTTAACCACTGAGCCATCTCTCCAGCCCCGGCCCATTAGTTTTAAATTGAATTTCACTCAAGTTCTCAGGACAGAGGTAGAAAGAAACCAGATTCTGGGTCTAAATGTCAGGTGGTCCTCGGCTGCATTGATACAAGC